AAAAAAAAAAAAATGGTCTGAGGTTTTAGTATTATTAGAAGCATGGTACAAAAGAAATAGCAATAATTCTATTTTTCTTTTGCAGAAAGCAATGCTTCCATGTACTGCCTACTCCCTATTTAAAAGACCCACATCAGAAACAAGGAATGAAGAATATTTTCCTTTTAGTTCCTTTAAGTCAGACAACTGAATATTTTGAACTTCCAAAACCATTATTCCTTCTGACTCTAACATAACTCTAAAGGCTTTTATCGAGCCCCTTTTTGAAAGATACATTCTCCCCTCCTTAAATCCACTGAATGATTCTCAACTTATTAGCATCATTTACTCCCTACATTAGAAACTGAAAATTATTTTTTAAGTATACTTAAGCATCCAGGTGAATTACCTTTTGAATAGAATGTTCTCTGGTGACTGCTAAATCTATAAAGCACAAATTTGAAGCAATAACCCTATGTATTATCTTCCCAATCAGAAAGTATCATGCTCACCATTTCATATCTTAAATCCTAGGGCTCTCATGCATTCCTTGTGGGCCTCAATTAGGTGTCCACAGTGCTCTTCTCCTTTCTCAATGATGCTATAAAACAAAATGTACTTGTTATCTAACAAAGTAGGCATTAGTACATTAATAGTAAATATGCATGACAGTGACGGGGAATGAGGCAGAACATGGATCTGATGGAATGTAGTTGGAGTTAAAGAAATAATTATGCATATCAAATATTGCCTCTAGTTCATATCAAAGGAACAATACAGTTCTCTAATGAAATTGATCATCTGAATACAATACTTATGTTAAAAAAATTTTTTTAGGGGCGCCTGGGTGGCTCAGTCGGTTAAGCGCCGACTTCGGCTCAGGTCATGATCTCGCGGTCCGTGAGTTCGAGCCCCGCATCGGGCTCTGTGCTGACAGCTCAGAGCCTGGAGCCTGTTTCAGATTCTGTGTGTCTCTCTCTGGCCCTCCCCCCTTCATGCTCTGTCTCTCTCTGTCTCAAAAATAAATAAACGTTAAAAAAAATTAAAAAAAAATTTTTTAATGTTTATTCATTTTTGAGAGACAGAGCATGAACGGGAGAGGAGCAGAGAGGGAGGCAGACAGAATTGGAAGCAGGCTCCAGGCTCTGAGCTGTTAGTACAGAGCTCCAAGCGGGGCAAACCCACCAACCTCAGATCACGGCAAAGCTTAACCAACCGAGCCACTCAGGTGCCCCTGAATACAATACTTAAGTTAAATGAAGGACAGAGAGAGGAATTGAATTTTTTGCCTATCACAGAGGAATTAAATCTTTTATTCTGCTCTACATTCAAATAGACCTAAATAAATCTCCTTCTAATCATAATACACCCAACAACATAAACGGCAAGATCTATCAGGCAACAGCAAGCAGCCTGATGAGCCTCCCTCACAATGATCAAAGAACTTTTTACACTAAGTAAAATCTAGGATCACACAGCTTTTTATTTCTAGGGCCTGAAAATGTAATTTTAGCAAAGATCAAATTAAGTCAAATTTAATTACAGGAAAAAATTGACTCCTGACTATAGATATTTTGGCATAGTGGTCTGAGACAATTAATGCAAAAGCAATTTGAAGGATAGGATCTCCTTCTTTAGAGATCCAAATCCTATATATCCTTCAATTGCGCAATGAATAGCTCATTCATTACAAATGAATGAATGTTTGGTGAAGATAACAGCTAGTATTCCCTGATCATTTTTTGAATACTGTGTAAGACCTGTATCATTAAACCTTACAGGAATCCTAGAGGCAGACACACTTTTATTAGGCCCATTTTAGACATAGGAGGCAGGTGTGTTAAATAATTTACTCAAAGTCGCAAAGTTGGTGGACCAGATTCAAACCTTGACTCTGGATTCCAAGTTCTTAGTCATGACACATTACTAGCTTTAGATTCAATAAGCCCTTACTGTTAACTATGAAAGCAATTTCAGTATCAGATTGTAGTCTTTCAATTCTCCCTTCACAGTATTATTTGAGAAGTACTGAGTATTAATAAAAAGGACTGCTTTCCTATAACTCTTAACTCCATTATGCCACTTGTGATTATTTTATGTGGGGCAAAAAAGAGGGAGAGGTTTACAATTCACATTTTCTGAGCATTCCCCCTAATGAGATTTGTTCCACAACAGAGGTTGTATAGAATGAGAACAAACAAAACCTTTTGTGGGTTGACAGGAATTCAGATGTGCTATCCTGAATACTGTCACCTATGTCAGACTGTCTGATTTTTCATTCACCTACCCGGGAGTGGGGGGATAGGGGGGAGGTAAGGGGAACTCTTCAGTACTTTAAGAAATGTACCGGGTCCCACTATGCCAAAATTTTACCAGAAAATTTTACTCTTTTGTCTTGCCAAATCTTCCATCACAGCCCATACATACCACGTGGTAATAGCAATCATTAGTATCTCCACTACCTATAAGCTTCTTTAAATCAAGTAGCATCTTTACGTCTTTAGTAGACCTAGGGCAGTGCTTGACACAGAAACAGATGCTCAAAAACCCTATGAGTGAGTGTGCGAAGCGAGCCCGGTTCAATCTGACCTCTCTCCTAACCTTTCATCCATCTTTCGGGGCTGGGCTACGGGCTCAGTCAACAGACAGAGTACTGGGTCCTCTAACTCTCAAAACTGCAGCACGGCAAAGCTCGGACCAGTGAAAGCCCAAGGCCGGGCAGGGCACAGAGGTACCGGAAGGCAGCGCATGGGGCCTGCCCGCCGCTCCCTCCCCATTTGCGCACTGACCAAGCATCGCGCGCCTTCTTGGTCTCCGGACAGGCGCAGCAGGGCTTCAGAGGCTTCTTCTCCTGTGACTCAGCCGGGGCAGGGCTTGCGGCCGCCAGACCTGGCATCTTGCAAGCCTACAGCAGCAACTAGCACAGCCACCCTAAACTCTCCCAGGCTCGGCGAACGCCGATTTGCCTTCAGTCACTTCCGGCAGTGGCTCTACCAGGGACAGGAAGTCCTGCCTCTCTCAGACGGAGGGGGAGTTAGGAGGGGGAGAAAAAAAGATTTAAAATGGCGCGTGCGCAGAGAGGCTAAATGAAGGGCGCTTCTTTCGCGCAGGCGCAGGGGCGGGATGAAAGGGCAAAGAATTTGTCAATCAACTTGGGGAAGACTGGAAGAAGGGGAAAGTAGTGAGATGGTAACTCATATCTCTTAACCTCTCAATCTACCAATGGAAAACTGAAGCCCAAGAAGGTGAGATGACTTGTCCACCCTAAACAAAAGAAACACGAGTGAAAGCCAGTTTCCCTTGAGTGACAGATTAGTTCCACATATTTCATGCTCGAGTTATTATCTGCCTTCTCCTCCCTCCCCGCCCCCACCTCCATCTCTTTTGTTCTGGTTTAGTTAAAAATGATCAGCAAAGAGCTTTGAACAATCCAATCCACAAATGTGAGGGGAAAATTCTAATAACTCATACCATACCCAGTACACTATTTTATAGTTCCCTTTCTAACTGATTTGATTTCAGTATGAATTGTTAATCATAGGGCAAATATACCAGTTAATAAAATTGAAAAATGACTTTTCCTTGGCATTTCTTGAGTTCAATTAGGTATATAAGTAAACTGGCACCTACTATTTGCAATTGTGGGGATTTCTTTCATGCATAAAATTGTTGGGGAAAAGGAATGAACTTATTTCTTTTTTACCTTATTATTTTTTAAAATTTATTTATTTTGAGAGCGCAAGTGGGAGGAGGGGCAGAGAGAGAGGTCAGAGAGAATTCCAAGCAGGCTCTGAGATTTCAGCACAGAGCTGGAGGCAGGCCTCTATCCACCAACTCCTGACATCATGACCTGAGCTAAAATCGAGTCAGTTAAGCAACGGACTGAGCCACCCAGGTGCCCCTGGACTTATTTTTTAGAGCAGGACTTCAAGGCATAGTTCAAATAGCTGCCTAGTATATTTTAGGTAATAAAACTTTCAGTGTCACCTAACCAAGGTTTGTTTCTGTATTTCAGAGATTTAGCTCAGGGAATCCGTATGTATGTCTATGAACTGGTGCTATATACCCTTTATTTTTTTTTCCTTTGAGAGAGAGAGAGAGAAAGAGAGCACGTGAGTGGGGTAGGAGGAGAGATAGAGGGAGAGAATCTCAAGCAGACTCCACACTTAGCACAGAGCCTGATGCAGGGCTTGAACCAACTGCAAGATGATGACCTGAGTCAAAATCAAGAGTTGGATGCTTAAATGACTGAGCCATCCAGGTGCCCCTGTGAACTCGTGCTATATGGAAGTAATTTCTCTATGTGTATTTTCCAAGTTACTAAAACATCCCCATTTTGTCATCTAAAAACTTTTAATAAGCATGATTTTTACTTCATTATAGATTGATATGTTTACTAATAACAACATATTGTCCTTATATTCTCCTAGACTCACCTTTATCCACTATTATCAGTTCTTTCAACTAGGTGTTTGCTACTGCTACTTAGTATCTTGCTATTGAAACAGTGATTCTTAGACTAGCAACATCAACATCACTTTGGAAGGTAATGTACAATAAACATGGCTGAACAAATCAATGGGTAAAAGAAAACAAACTGAAGAAAATTAAACACCACATCAAAGGGTGGGGTTCTGGATGCATTAAAAGTCTACATGTGAAAGGTCAAACTAAGAAATCAATGAAAGGTAGTGATAGTGGAGGAGCTTATCTCTTTTTAAAATAATCTTCCCAACTTTAGGGTTGCCTGGCTGACTCGGTGGAGTGTTTGACTCTTGATCTTTGGGTTGTGAGTTTGAACCCCACCCCATTGGGTGTAAGGTCACTTAAAAATAAAATCTTAAAAAAAAAATCCCAACTTTAATAGCATGTCTCTGTTACTTAGGGCTCCAAAATACATTAATATAAAGTTGGTAGAGGTTATCTTTATACTGAGGAGTGGTGTACATCTGATGGCATTTCAAAAGCACAAATTTTGTCGACACAAATTGAACAAACTTTTAGAATCTCTAAAAGTAAAGAAAGAGAGTTTTATTTGAGCCCAAGTTAGGACAGCTGCCTAGGAAACACATTCTTCATAGGAATGAAAGTACTCTGGAGAATGAACAATTTTTACAGGGAATATACTTCTTTACATCTCAAAAGATGATAGATTAGCATATAAGCAGGAATCATGAATTTTGTCATAAAGGAATGCAGGGAACAAGAACACTGATTGATATCTCAAGAACAGGATGGGTTTTCCTTTGTGCTACTCATTCACAAAGCAGATGTACAATGCATGTGTGGCAGTCCATAAATCAGGCTTTTGGTATGAACAAAGTTTATATACCATCATGCTAACTTAGAAAAAAATCTAAAATGGCTTCCCTTGTCCATCAGGTCTTTAGAGAGTTCTTCGTTCATCATAAGTAAATATATATATATAT